TGAACTCCTGACCTCCGGTGATCCTCATGCCTCAGCCTCCCAAATTGCTGGGATTACAGGCATAAGCCATTGCACCCAGCCCAAATTTTTTATCTTTATGATTTCACCTCACATTTTTAGCTATGCTTTACATATTACTTGATTTTCTGAGATAACCCTCAAAAGCAACTGTACTCTGAGTTTCTCTTGGATTTTTTAGTCGAATAATCATGTTTTTGTTTTAATTTCAGAAAGTCTGTTTGTGCTGAACTTGAATCTCCTTAAAGAGCTCTTTCATTAAAGTCAAAATGGATTATTATTGTTTTATTTTTACATCAGGGCTCACTCAGCTTGGGTTATTTGTAGTATTCCACATGGCCTCAGTCTTGGAAGTGCTGTGAAGTAGAATAATCTAATTCACAGGCCAGTGTTCTATAGAGGTACCTAAAAGAAGCCTTTTGTTTCCTTGACTCTTTTATTCCTCCAGCCTCAATGGTAGGGAGGATCCACCTCACCTGTCTAGCTACTTCTGGCTTTTCTGGGGTCAAACACTACAGGCAATCTCATATAATGTTGTCATCCTCACTCCTGTGGCTACACAGAGCTCTTGGAGCCAAGCTCTTCTTAAAGTTCTTTGCTTTCCTATTCTTAGCTCAGAGCTTTGTGAAGCTAATCTCCAAGTGAGAAAATGAAGTTCTGCTTCCTTTCTCTTCCTTCCTTTTGGCAAGGCCAAAGACTTCTTATATCTAGCCAGCTACCTTATGACACAGAAGCCTTTTGGCTTAGGAATGCAGCTACACTGAAGTGAGGGCTATAGAGGAAGAGAGCTACGTTCAGGTCACCACCTTCCCAGATTCCACCTCATCCGTGGTCCTGTTATATATTTTTATAAATCAAAAATCAATAATACTTTTGCCATCTATAAAGCAGTCGAATTGTATTTATGCTGAACTTCCTTATACTTGATCTGTATTCTTGCAAGTAAGATAGGCTTGGAAAAAATATTGAAAAATTATTAAATCATCAATTCCTGGGAGACCGGATAGGGAGAAGATTCCTAATGAAGGAAAATCTAGACTTAGAAGTCCTAATTTTACACTAGGATAGCTCCTTTGTTTTCACTATTAATTTAGAACAGAGGCTTAGCCTTGGAGGCCAACTTTAATTTTATTGAAAAGTTTATGATTTTGTTAATTTCCTGTCTTGTTTCTCTTGCCAGGTGGTGTGGGGATGATGTGCTCACTGAGTGAACAAGGGAAGCAGCTAGCTATCCAGGTGTCTAATATCCTGGGGATGGACGTGTGTGGCATTGACCTGTTGATGAAAGATGACGGCTCCTTCTGCGTCTGTGAGGCCAATGCAAATGTAGGTTTCATCGCCTTTGATAAGGCTTGTAATCTAGATGTAGCTGGTATCATAGCAGACTATGCCACCTCCCTTCTACCCTCTGGCCGGCTCACCCGGCGTATGTCCCTGCTCTCCGTGGTGTCCACGGCCAGTGAGACTAGTGAGCCGGAGCTGGGTCCCCCAGCCAGCACTGCTGTTGACAACATGAGTGCAAGTTCCAGCTCTGTTGACAGCGACCCTGAAAGCACGGAGCGAGAGCTGCTCACCAAGCTCCCAGGGGGCCTGTTCAACATGAACCAGCTGCTAGCCAATGAAATCAAACTACTGGTGGACTGACTCCACTGGTAATTAACCAACAAAACCCTTGTAAACCTTTCTTTCTTTTTTTCTTTTCTATTTTTAAAACCAACTTGCAATGCTGTTCATGGAGGTTGCTCAGGAAGATGAGAGAAAATTAGTAGGATTAGTTGGAGGCAGTGGGAGATAGATGAGACCTCTGCTAATAAGATGTTACTTTCATTTACAATTCCTACAAATAGAGAGGCAGAATAGGTGGGATATAGAAAAATGTTAGGCTCTCATAGTTACCCTTTTAAATTTCTAAAAAATTTTGTATGCTCATAGGCCATGAGGAACATATACTTTTATTTTATGGTTCCTTGCTTTTGTTTTTGTACAAAAAATGATTTTGCTACAAATATCCAAGTAGCATAACTTCACATTGTGTTGCAAAATTTGTCATTGGTGAGGAAAACATCTGCCTAAATTACAGGAATTCTTGTATTATATAGCTCTGAAAATTCTGCCATTTCCTTATTAGTAGCTTTAGTTTGTAGTTTATGAAATCTTGAGGGGCTCTTTTCCTGGGATTTCTTACTTCTGTGTTTTGTTTTTTCCCCCTTAATTTGGTGGGAGGGTCAAAGTGAATATAACCTAATAAAGGCTTCTTAATGACAAAATTGGCATGTTTGCATGATGAAATGGAAATGAACAGTATTGCAATGTCCGGTATACAAAATAACATTTATTCAATGTAGATAAAATTACACTAGTTTAAAATGTGCATTGACTTGTATTTGTTAGTCTTTTATGTGCTCTGTTAATGTTGCTTTTTTTTTTTTTTTAAATACATGCTAGTCTAACATTTCCTGCTCTATGCCTGCATCTTTAACAATGGCCAAAGTGAAGAAAATGCAACCTTTTTTGTTAACAAGACTTGAAATGTGTACATTTAAAGCCTTTTACTTTTTCCCTTTTTCTTTTGGTGGTTGGGCATTTAAGGACAAGGAAAAATATTTTTTGGGGCAAATCAAGAGCCTATATGAGTTCTAAGTTTAAAGCTGAAGTGATTTCTAATGCCAGCGTTATATATTTGCATTTTTCACATTTTAAAGGGAGTATATATGTATGTGTGTGCACGCATGCATGTGTATGTGTTTTGCTTTTTGTTTACATCAACTAATCAAAAAGGATAATTTAGAAAATGGAGCATGATGGGAAACAGTTTTTGACTTTAAAAAACAGATGAGTTGTTTTCATAAGGAGACTCCACTGGGGTAGAGGTATTCACCTTAAAACATAGGGTGAATAGATGCTTTTTAGGCCTTTTTGTGTATATGTATGTTTGTTTTTTTCCTTTTGTTTCTAAACTGTTCATTGTATGGTTTATTCAAGGCTACATGCTTTTCTTTAGTGCTTCTGGCTATGCATTTTCTCTTTTTACATACAGGAGTTGGGTTGGGGGTGAGTTGGATGTTTTTGCTTGGGGACTTATTTAGTAGTATTGAGTCTCTTATAGCCCTACTCTTAAGCCTTCAATACTGTCCACTCTTTATATTTCTTTACTTTCAGAATTTATAAAAGCCCCCAAACTGCATATAATTTGAGCCTTTAAAACATGGGTAAAACTAATCCCACTGAAGGGTTTGGATGGTATGTTAAGAAATGGAGATGCTGCAGAGCCCAACGTAATTTTTTTAAACAGCAAGTTCCATCTCCCTACAAATCCTCTGAAGCTTTTACCCAAGCCCTGTCTTGCCTCTCCAGTGCTATTTTCCATCAGATGGACCTTAAGCATAATTTCTTGGACACTACTAGAGAGACTTCGAGGCAATAATAAAAGATCAGTATTAACCACCTATAACAGAGGTTTGATCATGCTTACTGTACAGTTTTTCCCCCGTTTTAAAAAGGAATGTAATAAAATTTGTTTTTTCCATAGAATTAAATAATATTAAAATTGAGTGAAAGGTTGATTGTTGATGAATAGAATAGCACCTCTCATCTGTGCAGTGTCTCATTTCACCTCAGAGAAAAGGATACGTAAGAGGAGTTTGTCATTTAACTTAGGATATTCTAATTGCATTTAAAACAACTTACCTTGCACAGGGTAATTGGGGGACTCACATACATATATTAGTATCTCTGACTCATTAACAGAAAGAAATACTTGGTACTTCTTTCGCTGAATGACCATACTGTGGAGGATGCATACTATTTGGTATAGACAAATAAATGAGGAAGAAAGAACTGCCTAGTTAAATTATCATTCATATGTTCATGTAGAGACCATCTGGTTGCCATGTATATTATAACACATACACTTTCAATAGTTATATATCACAGGTATGTAGATTAATACATTTAAAAAAACCTCTTTATTTGATGAAAATTTCAAGTTTGTGTTGGTGGGCTAAGGCATCAGGAAAAATGTAGTAAGCCATCTTTTAACTAATACCAAATTAACCAACTATATTATAGGAAATATGTGAAATTAGTTCATTAGTTTTATTCACTATCTATTATGCATTCACATAATATTAAAACATAGCTTTAGCAACCTGTTTCTGGATTATACACTCACACGTTAGAAAGAAAAGAACAGTAGTTATCATCTTAGATTTTAAAAACATGGATATCTTCTTGAATTCCTTCAAAATTAAGGTAAAGAATAAGAGCAAATCATTCTGGAAAGAACCTAAGGAAACAGCAGCAGATATTTAGGTGAAAATTAAATTTATTTTCATAATTGTTTAATAACTTTTGTATAATCTTCATTGCTATTATGAGAGATAAATTGTATTTATCAAATATATGTAATGATAAAATCTGAATTGTAAAATTTTTGTATATTGTTAAAATTGTAATTCTAAATTGTACTTCAAAAATAATTATTTCTGATTGTACTTATGTCACCCATGATGAAAACTGGACTATATATATACATCTAAACATATAAGTATGAACTATTCTAGTTAAAATTTTTAATAGTTTTTTTCTTTTTTGGTGCCTATAATTTCTGCTGGCTTTTCTCCAATGAACATTGAAATCTTTCTGTATGTGTTATCAATAAGAAAACTACCCTGGAACATTAGAAATACCCAACAAGAGACTTGGCTTTCATCAAGCACATTATCAGACTTTGAGAAGATATTGAAGGCATTGACTTTGAAAATCATCTCTTTTTCTCAAGAAGAAAGCAATGGAGAAGCAAATTTGCTTCATTCAGTGAATCCCCAGTTTGGGGGTTGGGGGGCTTAGAGACATTGTAAAATCAAATCTTGTGTTATATTTTTCTCCTGGCTCACTTTTTTTGAGAAGGTTTATGGGCTATTTGGCTGGTGAGACACGATCCCCTCCTAAGAAAATGTAGGTGCTCAGACAGGTAACCTCTGCTGCTACTGTTTTTATTTGTTTGTTTGTTTAATTTTATTTAAGATTTGTTTTTGTTGTACTAGGATTTTTTAAAATGTAATATATTGCAGGATTTATAACCAGGTTCACTGACTGCTTGCTTGCTTTCTTTTTCTTTCTTTTTTTTTTTTTTTTTCCTTAAAACAAAACAAAACAAAGTTTCATTTAAAATACATTTAGGCACCTTTGGAGCTTGGATTTTGGAATGTTTCAGTAGTGGACAGAAATCTGCTGTTGGAATCTTCTAGTCTTCCAGGTTTAATTTGAAATGTTTTTAGTTTTGTTTTGAATTTTTGTGTGGCATTTTATTTCCTTTATATCAATGCCATTTTGCCATGCTGTTTTGGGGTGGCTGCCTAACTCTAGTGAAAATTCTTTCTATATTAACGAAAGTTTGGCCTTTGAAAATCCTTAATGTTTTGCATTTTTTACGTTGTTTTTAAAGAAATATTCTAACTGCTTGCACTGTTACTGTTCTTTACCAGCCTTTTCAGGAGCCAAAAAAACAAATACAAACAAACAAAAAAATACCCAGAGAAAAAACTTTCCTTCTTCCCCCTTCCTGATGATGAGTGAGAAGTATTGAGAACTTTCGGGGTCATTGCCCTTCTAAACTCCCCTTCCCCCAATAATGCAGCTGTATAATGAATGGTAAATGCACCGGTTTGGATTCAGGCACAGCCCAGCCTGCTTGCAGGTAATTTAACTCTTTCTCCTTTTTTTCCACCACTAGGCTAACTTTCTTTTTTTAAAAACTTCTCCTTTATGTACTTTAAAAAGTAACCATGGGTTTGTCATAATTCTCAATTAAAAATAAATATATCTAGCAAATAATATGATTAAAGAAGAGCTTTTGGGGTAAAGTTTGACTTGGTTACGATATACTCAGGACTTTCTTGGAATTTTGTTTAGCCATTTAGATGACTCCATTTCTTGAATATATGTCTATAATTAAATATTTCGGAGTGTGAATTTTTTGGCTTTGTTTTTGTTTTGGGTTTATTTGTTTCTTCCATTGTGCTACTCTGGCTTAAGCTTTTTCAGGGGTTGGTGTTCCGAATACACAGTGAGCTCACAGTATAAAGACACGAATTAGGAGTTGACAGGTATGGAAAACTAGAGTTTTGAAAGGTAAAATTAGGTTCTAGGTTATATATATGGTAAAAACCCAACATAGCATTCGTTTTACCTTAGTGCTTCTCTTTCTGTGACATTATAAAAGTGAAAGGGAATAATAATACAAAACATTTTAGTTCTTTTAGGAGGAATGTGATTTCAGAACTAATCATTTGGGTGGTTCTAAGATACTAGTTCTAACAAGGAGATGTGAGCAGTTTCAGATAATCAGAAAATCATGGTTTAAACTTTCAAAATTACAGGTTTGAACAGATAGGAGGGCAGTTCTGAAGTACAAGAAGGCTAAGCACATTAACCAAGGACATAAATTGTCAAGGATAGGACTATATACCTTGTCCATTTTAATAGCCTTTCTGTTAGGTAATAAACTAAACTATCCTCTCCACTGTCTTTACCCCAGCCTGCCTACCCTTTCTTCTTTTTTCCTATCCTTTCTAAAGTTTTAGCTCTGAGCTTTTGTTATTTTGGGGTATTATCATCTTTCTAATAGGTAGAATTTTAGTGAGAGTAATCAGGACCTTTTCAACATATATTTCTGCATAATTTCATCCTGTGGCTTTAGGCGTACTATCCAAAGAGGCTGTACGTCCAGCAAGTCACTAGTTAGTGAACAGGAAGTCTTGGCTTGTAATGCTATTTCTGTAGCTGAAGGAAGACATGTGATCAGTGATTAACCTGTTCTGTGCTTCAGTTGACTCTTAGAAGGATAGTCATTCCCCTTAAGGATCTTACGACAAAGATATTATCTGTTGAATTGGAATTTACTAACAAAGGGGTTCCAGCTGCACTCATGCAAGAATTTGTGATGTATACTTAAAAAAAAAAAAAAAAAGGCGGGGGGGGGGGGCTTATTCAGGAGAGCCTTGTTCTCTTGCTAATATGAATGACTAACACTAGAGTATACAAACTATCTGTTGTATGAGGCATGGAGAGTTTAACAACCTCCGGTCAGCTGCCTGTTTGAATACCACTGACTTGTTAGGAATGATCTTGCGTTTAGATTTTACCATATTCATACTTAGTAGGTGAGCCTTATATAGCATATATACCTGGCTGCTATTGTGGGGTTTGGGACCATGAGGGGTGGGTGAACTGTTGTTGTTTTAGGTTTCAGTCAGACAGACATCCCTGTGCCTCAGTTCCCAGAAGCACAGCAGGCCTCTAGGAGCATCCGTGGGAACGGCGCAGTCCTGACATCACCAACTCTCCTGCTCAGGCTCATCCCATATACAGAGGTCAAAGGGTGGGGTTTGAGACTGGGGGAAGGAATGAGAAAGTAGAAGCAATGTCACTGCAGTGTCACTGTTGACTAGCCTTTAGTGCTTACGTCAGTGTTTATTTCCTGATTTTTTTAAGTTGGTAAAACTGTGCATATTTTTACCTTGATGAAGGCAGTGGGAGGGTGGAACAAAAACAAGCCATTACTGCTATTTGTAGTTCATTACCAGAGACTGTCCCTTAACAGCTAATAAAGAATAAATTGGGAACGTAGACCTAGATGACAGAAAGAATGGGAATAGAAATGAATCCCAGGATTTTTTTTTTTTCCTTGTCCTAACAAAGTGGCAGAGCCAAAGTAGAATCCCAGGATTTTAACAAACAGAAGACATTTATGCTGTGTTAATCCCCAGTTCTACAACTGCTATTATATTTGTCATTCTGTCTCCCTTTTTCCCCTAATTCTTTTATGTATGTATAGTTTGAGGAAATGTGCATTTATGGTCAGTCCTTTTTAGAGGACTTAATGAATTTATTACTCTTTTGCAAAAAATATACCCACTGCTTATATGGGCATACAAATGCTACCCTATTTTAAATGTAGGTGGCGTATGTGTTCGTGTTTTAATGTATTCAGAGCCTTGGGCAATAAGCAGTCCAGAACATTGAAAACTCAAGCAGGTAAAGCACCTAACACCCTTAGTTTCTAGAGTTACTTTAAAAAACTTTTACATTGCTGCATCTTCCACAGTTCCTTGGGTAGTCTTAGAACTTAAAATTTGTAGGAGTTGTAGACTGCCCACTTCAAATGTTAAGTTTTGGTATTTATTCATAGATTGTAGGAGTAGGTAAACAAGGAAACAGAAAAGAAAATGGCTTCTTGAGATGGCAATTGCTGAGTGGCTAAATCTTTCCACTTCCTTTCTTTTTACTTTTTTTGTAAATTTTCCTAGCTTAGCATGAACATTAGTCATACAGTGTTTGATTTTCTGTGATTGGGATTTTTGGTTTTGATTTTTGGAGGGAAGGTCTTGGAGAAACATTAAAAAGTTGGTGTATATGCAAAAATACAAAATGTTAAACAAAATAATGTTTTCTATTTAATCTAAATAGTAAGCAATATTTTTTTCTATATACCCTTCTGCTGCAGCAGAGAATTAAACTGGTAGGTGGCAGCAGAGGAAGGAATTCTTCAGATTGATGGCTACTGACTTAAAATCTGCATAGGAGAAGAGATAGAGCATGACATACCAGCTGAAGCAAGGGGGGCAAAAATGGAAGCAGGATTAAGACTCCTGGATTTTGACTCTAAATGGGTACGTTATCTTTAAGTAATCATGTGTTTTTCATCAGATGGCAATGTTATGTCATGATTATGTACAATGGCGTATAATCATAAATGCCTGTAGGTTCTTGCCTGAGGTTGAATTTAACTTGACTGGTGTACTCTCATTCTTTACTGTGAATAACAACTAATAGTATATAAGATTAGGGTTTTCTCCTCAGTATGTTGGTGTATGTGACCTTTAATTACGACAAAATTATACTGACAGTAAGTCTGATTTTTTTTTAATTTGTAAGAGAAATAAAATATGCATTGTTAATAATTTTATAAAAACAAAAGTTCTGGCCAGGCACCGTGGCTCACACCTGTAATCCTAGCACTTTGGCAGATTGAGGCGGGTGGATCACCTGAGGTCAGGAGTTCAAAACCAGCCTGCCCAACGTGGCGAAACCCCATCTCTACTAAAAATACAAAAATTAGTTAGGCATGGTGGCGGGCACCTGTAATCGCAGCTTCTTGGGAGGCTGAGGCAGGAGAACATCTTGATCCCAGGAGACAGAGGTTGCAGTGAGCCAAGATCATGTCACTGTACTTCAGCCTGGTGACAAGAGAAAAACTCCATCTCAAATTAATTAAAATAAAAAATAAAAGACTTTTTTTAATGGGAGCTTTGGGAGATAACAAAAGAATATAATCAGAAAAAAAGTATTAGGGTTGGAGTGATCTCTTCCAGCTGGCTGTCTCTAGATCAAGACTCATTTCCTTGTCACTGTGCCATGTTCCACTCTGCCATTAATTCCCACCTGCCCGTTCATCTTTCTCTCTTGATTATCTGGCTGGACTTTCCCCCTGTTCCTCTGTCTCTCCCTCTCTTTGTGCTTCTCCCTTACTCGAGTCTATTTGTAAGCTTCTTTCTCTCACATTCAGTTCTGAATTTTAATTATCCAATGTTGCAGTTTTTCATCTCTGCCTGCCTGTTTTTCCTAGGAGAGTGTGTATGTCTGTCTCTTCCTCCCTCCCTCTCTCCCCACTTTTCATTTGCATTCTTTATTAGAATTTGACTAGACTTAATAGAAGAAATTAAATGATATTTGAAAGTTCTCTAGAATTAAAGAATGTAAATTTCAATTAAATTTATAATAAGATGCAGACCTGTTTATTCTCTCAACTACTTATTTAACTGTAGTATCTGTTGTTTCTGGCAACCAAGCTGTGTAAGATCATTTGGACAGAAATGAAAGGCATATGGTTTTTATTCTTTATTTTATTTTATTTTTTAAGACAGGGTCTCACTCTATCACCCAAGCTGGATAGAGTGCAGTGGCATGATCTCAGTTCACTGCAACCTCCACCTCCTGCATTCAGGCGACTCTTGTGCCTCAGCCTCCTGAGTAGCTAGGATTACAGGTGCGTACCACCACACCTACTAATTTTTTCTTTTTTTTTGTCATTTTAGAGGGGATGGGGTTTTGCCACATTGGCCAGGCTGGTCTTGAACTTCTGGCCTCGAGTGATCCACCTACCTCAGCCTCCCAAAGTGATGGGATTACAGGCATGAGCCACTACCTCTGGCTTATTTCGACAACTTTTAACTTCAAGTTGACGCTTGATTTTTTAAAGTCTCTAATGAAATCAGAAAATGAGCAGAGCAGTCAGTATTTTTAGAGACCTTCATATTAGAGAGTGTCAAGTTTTAGTCCTATAAATGAGGGTTAAACTGTAACTGGTATAAATCTGTTTTTAGGGCGTATATGTGACCATCTTAGAAGGTTTTTTATTCTAGTAAAGTAGCACACAGATAATTGTTTTCAACTTTTAAAGATGGTAAAAACTGTAAATCTAGAGGAAGAAATTATTAAAGAAGGGGAGTCCTGACTCCTGTTAATATCTATAATAACAGAATGAGCTACCAGCCTGCAGAGCCCTGCCATAGAAGTTAGAGTAATCTGGAAAGTTTAGTCATCTCATATAATCTTGAATTTGTACATAAGGAAACTAAAGTCCAGAGAAGTTGGTGACTTGCCCAAGATAACTGAGCCAGGCCTAGGATTCTCGTCTCCTAATTGTCAGTCCAGTGCTCTTTGCATTGTATACCATGCATCCTCAAAATCTATAGTTACTGAACATGTGCTCTGCAGTGAAGCTGCAGTGTCACAAAGAGTTCAAAGTTGTGTTTGTGCTTGTGGTTATCTAAGATAAGATGGGGAGTCTATTTAAGTAAAGGATATGAAGGCAAGTTGTAGATGGCCATTTTAGATGGTTTGTATGCAGCATTGTATACATGTTTTGCATGTACATTTATTTGTTGTATATAGCAAACATGTAATTATGAATACATCTTGATTATAGGGTTTGACACTGAAAAGGTATCCCTTGCTGAATTAAAAAACGATGCAAAAAGGCGTTTGTTTTACCTTTAACTTCTGGTCAAGGGAGAAGAGGAGTGGATTCCTTATGTCTAGTATACCATTAATCCTAACCTACCTTCCATTTCTATTCTGGAATATGAATCAATCTACAAGAAAGATACTCTTTTTATTCTGAAACTCCTGTTCCTTGCAGATTTTTAGGCTAGCAGTGGGTAAGTGGATCGTTAAATAAGATGATTGTGTTTACTTGTAATAACAGGATGTATAGTAACATGATGCTAGAATAACTGATACATTGTCTAAATGTGCAGCTTACTTTTTCTTAACCATGTAAAAAGAGGAGCCCTTTATTTTTAAAAATGGGCTGAATGTTGAAAAATATCATGCATATTAGTTTGGAACATAAGAACACACTGCCTCTTTTAATGTGGTCAGTGTCTAAATTTTTTAAAATAATTTTATCTTAATTTTGATTAGTGGCCAGGCATGGTAGCTCACGCCTGTAAGCCCAGCACTTTGGGAGGCCGAGGTGGGCAGATCACTTGAGGCTAGAAGTTCAAGATCACCTTGGCCAACATGACAAAACCTCGACTCTACTAAAAATACAGAAATTAGCTGGGCACGGTGATGTGTGCCTGTGATCCCAGCTACTCTGCAGGCTGGAGCAGGAGAATCATTTGAGCCCAGGAAGCAGAGGTTGCAGTGAGCCAGGTTCGTGCCACTGTACTCAAGCCTAAGTGACAGAACAGTCATTTTGGTTAACATATAGAAATGTTAATATTTTAGAACTCAAAGAAAGTGATAAACTTGAGTTTTAATCTGAACCAAAAATTGTGCCTTCTGTAACTTACTGTAAAGTTAACCTAGAACACAAAGAGAGCATTTAACTTGAATTTTGTTTGTCTGGACATACTGGCACAATAATTTTATTTTGTGTGTTCTACAAGAAATTTTTTCTTTAGAGTTTTTCTCTCGGTATAGTTAGTTTTTCTGACTAAAATGAAGCACAATTGTTTGTATTATAGGGTTGCTAAGGAGTAATAGTACAGAGACATCTTCGTGATTATATTTTTAAAGTTACAAATATTCAGTGTCTGAAATTGGGTTTTTTTTTTTTTTTTTTTTTTTAAATATGTTATTTCTTTAGTGCAGCTTAATTCAGTCCCTGGGAGTCTGGGCACTGTGGCTCTTATCTGTAATCCCAGCATTTTGGGAGGCCAAGATAGGAGGATAGGTAACAAAGTGAGAGACCCTGTCTTTACAAAAAAAAAAAAAAAAACTAAAGTGTCTAAAATAAGTCACAAAACTTGCAGATTAAAAAAAAGGAAAAACTTTTTGGCTGTTTTGGTGTCAGCATCTTAATTAAGTGGAAAACATTATGGACCTATAAATTATGACTGCACACTCACTAGAGAGAACAATTTCCAGGGAGTTAGAATAGTTTTTCCTGAAGGAGAGCCAAATAAATTTGGGAAATAAGGTTGCTCTTGTAAAACAGTAATAGGTTTAGCTTTTATTTTCTAATGGTAAGAACATTAAATGTCTTCTAAGTCAGAATCAAAATACTTTGTTAGCTAAGCTCACCAAGACAAATTCTTTGATAATACAAAGCTGGTTGTGGATTTTGGTAGTCTAATCAATTTAGAATGTTTTATTGTCACCTTAGTTGATTTTCTGTCTTTATTTTCTTTTTGCTTTATCCAGGTTATAGAGACTTTTAAAATCTATGATGTAAGTAAGCTGTATGTGTTTTTCCCCCCTAGGTTCTTTTGAAGTAACCAGGATCTTTTTTGCTTACCCTCACTAACAGAATGGATGAAGATAGATTTGACTGTGTGCTTTTTCAAGTGGAGAATATGAATATACAGAACAAGAAAGCAATAACTCTTATCTGTTTGATTGAATCTGTTTTCTAAAATAAAGATACCATGCACTGGAAATAAGATAGCATGCAGTGTGACATGTTCTTTTGGCAGCTGTTTCTCTATACTCCATTCTATATCAGTTCACTTTGGTCCAGGTATCGACTTGACAGACACAGTGGGGGTATGGGCATTTTGAGACTCTGTCTCGAAAAAAGAAAAAAACAATTAACATGGTGCTGGGCATGGTGGCCCACACCTGTAAACTAGCACTTTGGGAAGCCCAGGTGAGTAGACCACTTGAAGTCTAAGAGTTCAAGACCAGCCTGACCAACGTGGCGAAACCACATCTCTACTAAAATATTATGTATACATACAAAAATGAACCAGCTGTGGGGGGGCATAACACCAGATAGGAGGCTGAAGCAGGAGAATCGCTTGAAAAACCTTAGTCGGGCACGGTGGCTCATGGCTGTAATGTCAACACTGGGAGGCTGAGGTGGGTGGCTCACTTGAGCCCAGGAGTTCAAGACCAGCCTGGGCAACGTGGTAAAATCCAGTGTCTACCAGAAATGCAAAAATTAGCCCAGCATGGTGGTGGACATTTGTGGTCCCAGCCACTCGGGAGGCTGAGGTGACAGGATCATCTGAGCCCAGGAAGTCAAAACTGCAGTGAGCCGTGATTGTGCCATTGCACTCTATCCTGGGCAACAGAGTGAGACCCTATCTGGGGAAAAAAAAAACAAAAACAATTATTCTCATTTAACAAATTTATTGTTAAAGCATACATGCTAGTGTCACTTTGGATCCTTCAAAAGACAGACACCAAGATGGAGTCAGATAGGCTAGAGACATATTGAGGGAAATGCCTATAGGGATACAAGGGAGATGGACCAGTAGGTAGGGAAGGCCTTCAGAATGCAATGTGCTCCTGACACCTGTGACGAAGACAGGAGAGAACTCAAACCTCAGCTGTTCTGAGAGTCTGCCAGCCTGATGAGGAAACCCAAAGCAGAGTACCTATTATGGTGGTCCTGCATAGGGCAGAGATGGCCTGACTGCTAGTCTGGAGCAGCCTGGAGAGAAACGGTTTTCATGTGAATGCTCCAACGAATCAGGAGGACTGGCAGCCAGAGGCTGGCAGCCAGGTTTGTTACTTGCGTCCAGTTTTGAGACCTGAGTGGCACAATTCCATGGTAACCTCATTACACTCCTTAACACTGCACAGATCCACTCTACACCTTTGGGTAGAGTAGATGACAAAGTACAGTTAGGCCTTCCCAGCCGTCCCCCAAAGTCTTAACTAATTCCAGCATTCACTCAAAAGTTCCAAGTTTCAAATCCAAATTCTTGTGGAAATGAGTTCCTTCTACCTATGAGCCTGTAAAAACAAGGTATTTACTTTGAAGACACATGGGGGTATGGGCATTGGGTAAACATTTTTATTCCAAATGGGAGAAATAGGCCAAAAGAAAGGGGTTACGGAGCCCATGCAAGTTCAAAACTTAGCAGGGCAGTCATTAAATCTTATACTCCATATTCCATATACAGGGCACACTGCTGCAAGGGGTCGACTCCCAAGGCCTTGGGCAGCTCCTTGCCTGTGTCTTTGCAGGGTCCACCCCTCTCAGGTGCCCTCACAGGCTGTCGAGTGCCTGTGGCCTTTTCAGGCTCAGGGTGCAAGCTGCAGGTACATCTACAAGTCTGAAGGATGGTGGCTCACAGTGCCCCAGAAGGGACTCCATGTGGGGCCTCCAATCCCACATTTCCCCTCCGCACTGCCCTAGTAGAGGTTCTGTATGCGGGCCCCACCGCTGCAGCAGGTTTCTGCCTGAACACCCAGGCTTTGCTATGCATCCTCTGAAATCTAGGCAGAGGCTGTCAAGAACCCACCACTCTTGCACTCAGGCTTAACACCATATGGAAGCCATTTACAACTTGTATTCTCCAAAGTGGTATCTTAAGCTGTACTTGTGCCCCTTTGAACCCTGGCTGGAGCTGGAGCTGCCAAGATGTAGGGAGCAGTGTCCCAAGGCTGTGCAGGGCAGTGGGGCTCTGGGCCTGGCCCATGATACCATTCTTCCCTCCTAGGTCTCAGGGCCTGTGATAGGAGGGGCTGCTGCATAGGTCTTTGAAATGTGTTCAAGGCTTTTTCCCATTGTCTTGACTGTTAACACTGGCTCCTTTTTAGTTATGCAAATATCTCTAGCAGGTGGTAGCTCTACAGCCTGCTTGGATTCCTCTTTTGAGGAAGCTTTTTCTTTCTTTGACACATGGGCAGGCTACAAAATTTCCAAACGTTTACGCTCTGCTTCCCTTTTAAATATAAGCTCCTTAGCCAGGCGCAGTGGCTCACGCCTATAATCCCAGCACTTTGGGAGGCTGAGGTAGGTGGATCACCTGAGGTCAGGAGTTCGAGACCAGCCTGACCGACATAGTGAAAACCCATATCTACTAAAAAAAGGAAAAAACAAAAATTGGCTAGACATGGTGGCAGGCACCTGTAATCCCAGCTACTCAGGAGGCTGAGGCAGGAGAATCACTAGAACCCAGGAGGCAGAGGTTGCAGTGAGCTGAAATTGCACCACTGTACTCCTGGGGGACAGAGCAAAACTCTTGTCTAAAATATATATATATACACACACACACACACACACACACACACACACACACACATATACATACATACAAGCTCTAACTCTTCCTCCTTTCCATCTGAGACTCAGCAGCCTGGATCTTGCTGTCCATATCACTATCAGCATTTTGGTCGCAACCATTTATCCAGTCTCGAAGAAGTTTCAAACCTTTCCTCATCTTCCTGTCTTTTTCTGAGCCTTCCAAACTCTTTCAACCTCTGCCTGTTACCCAGTTCCAAAGTCACTTCCACATTTTCAGGTATCTTTATGGTAATTCCGCACTCCTGGTGCCAATTTTTTTTTCAGATTGCTATACAGAAATACCTGAGATCGGGTAATTTATAAGAACAGGGTTTAATTGGCTGGTGGTTCTGCAGGCTGTGCAGGAAGCATAGCAGCATGTGCTTCTGGGGAGGCCTCAGCAAACTTCCAATCATCACCGAAGACAAAGGGGAAGCAGACACATCACATGGTGAAAGCAGTAGCAAGGTCGGGGGCAGATGCCACGCACTTTTAAATGACTAGATCGCAAGCGAACTCAAAAGACAGCATCAAGCTATAAGGGATCTGCCCCCGTGATCCAAACACCTCTGGCCAGACCCCATGTTCAGCACTGGGGATTAGAATTCAACATGAGATTTGGGTGGGGACGAATATGCAAACTATAACAGCCTATAATTCACATTTTATCATCAATGGAGCAAGCATTATTCTTGGGGCAAAACTAAGTAAATATTGTCTGTCCCAAGTGGATGCAAACCATTTCTAGTCTTTTTCCTGAGACAGATGGGGGAAAAATGCATTTACTAAATCAGTGACTGTATTATGTACCTCAGACTTAGTACTCCTTCCTACTGCGTGCAGTCACTGAGTGGGAGTAAACCAGAAAGTGGCCTCAGTGTGAGAACTGAGGTGGATCCAAACACGGCAGCTGGTCGGGCACGGTGGCTCACAACTGTAATCCAGCACTTTGGGAGGCCAAGGCAGACAGATCACTTGATGTCAGGAGTTTGAAACCAGCCTGGCCAACATGGTAAAACCCTATCTCTACTAAAAACAGAAAAAGTTAACTGGGCATGGCCGGGCACAGTAGCTCATGCCTATAATCCCAGCACTTTGGGAGGCCGAGGCAGGCAGATCACCTGAGGTCAGGAGTTCGAGACCAGCCTAGCCAACATAGTGAAACCCTGTCTCTATTAAAAATACAAAAATTAGCTGGGTGTGGTGGCTTGCACCTGTAGTTTCAGCTACTCGGGAGGCTGAGGCAGGAGAATAACTTGAACCCCGGAGATGGAGGTTGCAGTGAGTCGAGATCACGCCACTGCACTTCAGCCTGGGCAACAGCAAGATTCTGTCTCAAAAAAAAAAAAAAATTAGCTGGACGTGGTGGTGTGCACCTGTAAGCCCAGCTACTCGGGAGGCCCAGGCAGGAGAACCGATTGAACCTGGGAGGCGGAGGTTGCAGTGAGCCGAGATTGCGCCACTGCACTCCAGCCTGGGTGACAGAGCAAGACTCCATTACCCACCCCACTCCCGAAAACAAAACAGCAGCTGGAGACTGACCAGGCAACCACATTTCTCATAGAGGCCTGCCTGCCTTCCTTTCTGTCTTCCTTCCTTCCCTCTCTTTGACAAGATTTAAAAAATAATTTTCATTATGTATGCATTAACATTGTTTTACTGTGGCAAGAACACTTAACATGAGTTACACTCAACAGATTTTTAGGTGCACAATGCAGTATTGTCATCTACAGGCACAATACTGCACAGCAGAGCTCTAGAATTCATCTGGCGTAATTGAAATGTTACATCCATTGATTAACAACTTCCCCTTCCCAGCAACCAGCATTCTGCTCTCTGCTGCTATAAGTCTGATTATTTTAGATACCTCATATAAGTGGAGTCATGGAGTATTTATCCTTCTGGGATTGGCTTATTCGCTTAGCATAATGTCCTCAAGTTTACTATGTTGTTGCATATTCCAGGATTTCCTTTTGTAAAGCTGAATAATATTCCACTGTGTGTATATACATTTTTTAATCCATTCATTGGTCAATAGACTTTAGGTTGTCTCCAATTCTTGGCTAAGAATAGTGCTGCAAAGGAACATGGGAGTACAGCTATCTAAGATCCTGATTTCAAGTTTTATTTTATTTTTTTTATAAATACCCAGAGTGATATTGCCGAATCATATGGTAGCTATATTTTTGGAGCAACTTCCGTACTGTTTTCTATAGCAGCTGCACCATTTAACAGCAGGTTTTCTTTCTTTCTTTTTTCTTTTTTTGAGACAGAGTCTCGCTGTCTCCCAGGCTGGAGCGCAGTGGCGTGATCTCGGCTCACTGCAACCTCTGCCTGCTGAGTTCAAGCGATTCTCCTGCCTCAGCCTCCCGAGTAGCTGGGACTACAGGTGCCCACCTCCACACTTGGCTAATTTTTGTATTT